TATAAGAAAGCTAGTACCACTCGCGTGGAAACAAAAAGTTTTCAATCGCCGTCCCGTCAAGAACCATGTCCTCGATAAAATCTAAAAGACCTGCCCTGTGCCCATTTGACCTTTGACCTGTGACCATCCATTTCGGCGACATGATGCCTTTCATAACATGATGCTATAACACCGACTAATCACTAGGAGCCTAAGGGTCGAGCTGTTTGAGATTTGTGCGCGCAATTCTGCATTTCCTCCCTAATATCATTTAAGTTAAGGAGTGATATTTCCCGCCTTCTTTTACCAGCTCTTGACCTTTGACGGCGTTGATCCCACCAGCTTCGACATCGCAATCGATTTTTGTACGATCCCCCCTCAGACGATCGCCGAATATCGTCGACCCGTACGTCGAGCGGTTAAGATTTGTCCGCAACTGCTTGACGGACGGACGACGGACGGACGGACGACAGCGGACGGACAGGACGAATCATGCGATTGCTACAAGCTTCATATGAAACTTATGTCATGATGACGCTAAAAATCAATACAAACACGCACGCGCCCGTGTGCTTCAACGACCACGTCCGCTACTCCGACAGCTCCCTCACTATATCTGATAGTTTGAATCTAAGCCGTTGAACATCTGCCATAAAGTACCGAAATCGGGCGATTCACCACATAACCCCTAGTGCCTCCCATCCTCCTATAGTGGACCTCCTGCCTGTTTGGCAAATCACTAAACCTAGCAATAGTGTAGACATCAGGCTGTGCTTAATACGGACATAGTTCTCCGTATCTTTTTTTATTACTCTTGGTTTCTGTTGTGTGCATGTGCTAAGTGTATCAAATTTACAGCCAGTAACCAAAAAATTTGTACCCCCGTCTTTTTCAAAAAGCACTGGATCTCCCCTGTACACGCCCCTGTATGGTTTAGTTAGGAATTAGGGTTAGGTTAGGTTTAAGGGTTAGAGTAGGGGAGTAGGCGTAAGCGACCTCCCTTAGAACGCGTTAGTGGAGTAGCAGAAGGGTACGGTCTGCGTCTAATATAGTAGATACCAGGGTATCGTTTCGGTATACTGGCCGTACCGCCAAGGTACGTTCGGCGAGTACCCTGGGACATAGACCCTCCTTGGCCATAAGTGCTTATAATATCGGAATTTGAGAATGATTAACGTAAGATGCGTTAGAGGATCAGCGAGAACAGTAGACGAGGAGGTAGAGATGGAGGGTCGCAGCTTATAGGGAGACATCATGATGGCTAGAATTCGCGTGGGGTAAGACGGTGGGAGAAGTCAACGGGGATTAAGGCGCGGCCAGGGAGGGGAAGCACGGGTCGAAAGGAAGCATACCATAGGAGGCCCTAAAACCGACTAGTCGCCTGTAGTTACGTGACCATAACAGCTAGTTTGGTCGTGCCTGCGACCAATATAGCTTCTCTACCGGTACAATTTTTTATAAATACATCACCGACATTCAAGTAAAGTAATGAGATTAAGTCAAATCTACACGAATAATACATAAGGACTCTAAGTAAGCATTGCGTGTCGTTATTACGCGAGGGAGCGAAGAGTGGACATGAATAAGTGACCTTAAATGTATGTCAGCTGCTATCTGTGATATGGTGCTTATGTCACTGTATATGTGATCGGAGTTGCTTCATATTAAATCGATAATAGGCTAAAATATTGACATTAAAAATCATTGCTATGTATGATACGCAGTGGCGTTAGACAGGTTCTGCCAGTTGTGAGGGGCATTATAGCTCGGTTTATCTTCCCATCGACAAAATGCTATACTGAAGAGTGTGCGCAAGTAGCGCACACTCCGCGACAGCCTGGCGCAAAGCCCCTAATGGGGTTGCGGAGTTTCAGGGGCCCGCCCCGTAGGGGCCTGGTGGGTGGGCAAGGGCAGAGCCCTTGCCCGAGGTCCAGGGCCGCGCCCCGGAATCTGCTCAGATTTAGCAATGTTAGAACCTTCAAGATGGTCGTTTTTTGTGTAATTGAAAAATGATATTGTAAGGCAATTTTTGTGAATTCGAGGGTAATTTTTTTCTTGATCCCAGAGGTTTTAATAACCACGCACCCCCACCCCCAAGCACAACACACAACCAGTGACGGAATCAGAAGTAGAATCTAGGGGGCGAATCAATGCGAGCTCAAGGCCAGCAGAAGCGCGCGACTGTGTGAATTGGTAAATAACAGCTTGCATCTAAAAGCAACATTTTGGACATCTTTATCATAGAGATATCAGGATTGTTCTCCGCTCCTTCAGGGCGTGTCCACCTCCTGTTTATGGGAGGTCCAGGGGACCTCCCCCGGAAATTTTGTTGAAAGTAACACCTCTTCGATGCAATTTCCTGCACTATGAGGCAGCACTATTAAACAATCTTCATCACAATAACATCACTGTTGAGTTGAGTATTTTTACCTTTGGGGACACCAAAGACTAAAATGCTTACTACCAAATCTGTGCTATACATGTACCGTACCATGTAAACTGGGGTTGCCAGTGCAGACCTACCTAAGCTAAAATACCTTTACCCTGAAAATTCGAGGACCGCCCCCTGTGCTACCGACCCCCCGTTGACAACTACAACACTGCAATCATCTCCCCCTGAAATTTTGATAAAACGTATATTTTACTGAGAAGTGAGAACCTTAAAACTGCAAAAGAATATGAGAAAAACAACCAGATTTGAACCAAATAGTGCATAATTTCACCCCTTATACAAAATCGGGAATATACTTCCGGTCGGGTCTCAGCACCCCCATCCCCCCTCCCAAAAAGTGAGATGAAATTGAATTTTCCCATTCAACCCCCCTAAAAATTCAATATCCCAACTCTCAATAGGTCTATTCTAATTTTAAACAAAGCAAGGATTTAACTTTCGTGAGCAGTGATAAGACGTGATTTGGGGATTTTGAAAAAAAAAATCGTATATGGGGAATGCGTCCAAAATTAACCGTCTGAGTTTCAGTAAAATAATGTCATTCTTGGAACGAATTACAGCCATTTTACAGTAGATGTATGTCACGTTCCATTTCTCTAATAATTCATTAGGAGAGTATGAATAGCGATGACGGATTTGTAGATAAATATCCAGTATTTATTGTCTGTAAAATATTAAATTTTTTCCCATTTTCTTCCTGAAAATAGGGGGTGATGAAAGCCACCCCACCTCAATAAGTGTGGGGAGATATACCCCCATCCCCCCGCTATCTACGCCCCTGTCAGATGAACTCAAATTGTTAGCAGTACTCAGTGTACTCTACAGGCACTTCTTTGTTGGTTCTACTTCTTTGTTCTTTCTTCTTTGTTGGTTCTTTGGTTCTACAGGCAGATCTGTGTTAGCAGTACTCTACAGGCGCCGCAGAACGATTTTTGAAGTGGAGGTGCTAAATTTGTTACGCTCGACAGTGGCCAATGCAGGATTTCGAGGAGGGTAGTAAGAAACATGCGGGGGTATGCGGGTCCTCTCCCAGAATTTTGAATCCCCCATTTTCCTCCTGAAAGTAGGGAGGGGGATGATTGTACACGCCATCCCCCCCACGTCAATAAGTGGGGGGATGCATCCCCCCATCCCCCCCGCTATTTACGCCCCTGATGATACGCAATTTATATGAATAAACGAGTTCGAGACAATCTATAATATAATATAAAATAACGAACTTTGCAACACTCTAAAATCGTTCATTGCAACTTTCAGATGAATCTTGTACTAAGCGGACTACGATAAAAAATCGACCGAAAGAAAATCATGGACGGTATTCATTTTCTTTCATCACATTTTAGTGAAAACTAAAAGTACAGGATAACTGCATGTCAAAAACAGATGATAGCAAGTCTTCGGTGTAATATGTTCATGCATGAGACGGTCACTACTGGCTATATACACATACATGTAATTTAACACAAGCTGATATATGTGACACTCTGCTAATATCAAATCAGTCACCAAAAATAACGTGATTTCAGGCGTTCCGCTTTATAATGGCGTTTTTAAAACTTCGGGTTGAAATTCCACCCGTATACAACACTGACGCAACATAAGGCTGAACATTTTCACTCGTTTCCCGAAAGTAACGAGTATCTATATATTTTCTTATCAATGCTTATGTCACAGCAGTGAATGCATTTGTAGAAAGTATATTTCACACTCTCTTCAGTTAACTAATAACAACGATAGATCACTCCTGCAAAAAATAGCCAGGACCTTGCTGCGAAATATACCTGAACTCGAGCCGACTAAACGGCTGACATTCAAGTTTTGACTTAACAAAGAACAAAATAAGAATGACATCTAATGACAAATGGTATCTGGAACGTGCACACGGGAGGGCACTAGCGATATTGGGATAAGGATACAGAACGTGTGTCGCCAAAACTGTCACCAAAGCCAAGACATCGTCTACTTTTTACGAAATCAAAATAACGATGAAAAACAATTTTCAAGCTTTACGTTTGTTGGCAAGGATTCAGTTGATCACTGCGACTTAAGACCATTGGCAGGGAGGGATTCATGCTATCTGACCGAGATTTGCCAGATTTTGCACCCGTTGCACAGAGATTTGACCCGTTTTTCCAGATGGATCCAATTAAGTGAAAATACTCTGAAATACTAAACTGAGGCAACTGCAACACTCAGCCAGTCGTTAAAGATCTGCTGATGGGTCGGTCCGTAAAATCATGCTCTGGATCACGCACAACCACACTGTTTTGGCACAAGGTCAGTTCATATTATTGAGATCCAGAGTCCACACAAAACAAACACGACCCTGTGTCTATAAGAAAACAAGATGTACAGACACATTACATCCTTTCTATAGCAACACGAATCCTATTATGGCTGAGAGGGTCTATGTCCCCTAGGGTACTGCCGGAACGTACTCTGGGTACGGTCCGGTATACCCTGGTACTATCTAATAAGCCGGACCCTACCTCGTCTACTCCACTGACGAGTTTAGGGAGTCGCCTACGCCTACTCCCTAACCCTAACCATATCAAATAGTTACCAGGGTATACCGGACCGTACCCAGGGTACATTCCGGCAGTACCCTGGGGGACATAGACCCTATGAGCTCTATTATGCATCCAGATGATAAGGTATTTAAATGTATATCATGCAATAAAAACAGTATTTATCAGCAAGCACTAATGGTGGATTTGAAATGTGTCTATTATACATATATTACATATAACACAGTGTCTAACACAACAGAAAATATTTCGTTCGCATAAAAGAACGAGTGCAGCTCAGAATATTCGATTGATGATAGCAGTTGGCACATCCATGGTTCCATCCTGCACTAATACGATGTCATATAAATCCTGGTACTTTGATAGCAGCCTGTCCACCTACAATTAGGATACCAAAAATTTAATCAATATATATCAGATACCCGATTGTGGAAAAAATATAGACTAAATATCTGGCATTGATGTCTTACAATATTCATCTATTAGTTAATCTCTATTACAAGTCAATTGCAAAACATTAACGAGTGATTAAAAACAGTGCCTTTTAAGCAAATCACTTATATTATTCAGGAGCACAAAATGAATAACCTATCACTAATTACAAACCCCGTGATTTAGAAATCCAATTTTGAGCGTGGCCTCTGGACTCGGACAACCATCAGCCATGTGGCAGTCACCGATACTGTCTCCCATTAGGATGATGTTGTGACGGTGGGACAGCTTCTCAAAGTAGTCAGAGTTCTCGATCGCAGATTCGTTCTTGCTAAAGGTGTGAATCAGGTTGCCTTTAAATCCAATAACCTTGCCCTATGGAAATGCCAGAGAGAGGACAGATTATGTTAATATTCTATCAAATCACGTATAAAAGAACAACTGAATTGATGATATCGATCTTCGAAATTTCACGGTAGCCGCACGATTCTCAAGACTTAGCTCTCACACCCATCTGGACACCCCACTAGAAAAAGCACTTACAAGCATGCACATGCATACATTTTGAAATTGGGACAAGTTTTGCTACTGGGCAGGTTACACAGTCACATCGTGTTGAGGCATTTTTATTAGCAATAGTACATTTGGTTAACAGCAAAGGAAAATTGGTTTTCAAATCTCCTTAAATCAATCATTCAGGATTTTAAACAGTGAGAAATCTAAATGTGGCCATGTATAAATGTAAAGAGCATTTAGTTTTCAATGCCAATAAAATATATACTACTCATGCATAAGGTATAACACAAATTATACCAATGATAAAAAGCATTTTGATGCGATGATCAGAGGAAATATTATCAAGAGATTCAAAAATCAATAGATTCTATTATTATTCACTCCTGATATATTTAGAGTCGATATAGGATTCTATATTATGGCACTCTTGACATTATTGCTTCAAGGACCATATCATTATTGCCATGCAAGTTTAACCTTACCTGGTAAATTTTTAAATAGGTTCTACAAGCAACAATATACAATAAATAACAATAAACAATGCTTTCTACAGGTCATTGTAATGCAAATATTGAAACTCCTATCTTCTTTTGGTAGGTTCACTCACCTACTTATTCAGGTTAAGTCAATGACAAACAACAGTGTCAGGCTATGTGCTAGCAGGTGAGTGCTAAATACTAGTTTGGTAAAATTGGTAATCCTGGATATTTACAATATAGAAGATAAATCCTACTAGTTTACATACTAAATGATTTAAGTGCTACAGCTGGTTCCAAAAACACAGTCACAAGCACACACACACACGCACGCACGCACGCATGCACATACTTATAGGCCACCACATAACTCAAGACATTATTACACTGCAATTATTCAGTCCCACGTACATTTCCATTGTACTCCATGTAGTTTGAAACTACTTTCACGTTATCGTGCATCGTTGACTTCTGTCTCATCACCTCCTCCAAGATGTCACCAATTCCAGCTGAAAACACTAGCAGGGGAACCCCATGCTTATAGAGCTTATACAGCAGCCGTTCGCTGCCATCCCTGTATGAAAGAAGCAGCAGCAGCATATAGCAACACCAGTAAGCTAGCAGCAACTTCTATATTTACAACAGCAATTATGATCCTGCCACCGACACCACCACCATGCAGCAAAATGTTTTTGACCCCACAACACGATTTGCGTTCACTTCATATTGTAAAATCATTACAGCCTTTCAGGTGGCATGATATGCATTTTTATTCACTATGGTTACTTATGAGCATTAACTTGTTAAAAATACACTTGTAAGCTTATATCTGCAACATCTAATGCAGCTAAATTAATCTCTCTAAGCATATATGTCAACATCTTGTAAAATTGAGCAAGATCGAAAGTGTTAAGTAATTAATTAATTAATACAGATATTGCTCTGAATTGTTGCAATCAGATACAGTGAGCTGTCAAATTAGGTTCCCATTACCATATGAGCAATATTATTTGTGAATTATGTTACGATGTTGTAATGAAACATTAAAATTCTCTAGTTTTATATCAAACACAAGCATGTCCTACACGGTTTCCCACATTTCGAGCAGCCACAAACTTTGAAGTTTATCCCTTCTTTAGAAAATTAACAGCCACTGGACAACAACAACTCTTCATAGATCAGAAGAAATATTAGTGCATCAGAATACTATATTAGTTTATTATAAAATAGCAGTGCATTAGTAAAAGCACATTTTGCGCTTCATTAGAGCATGTCTTCTTTTGACCAAATGCGTTTTGATCCCTTGACCATACTAAGAATGGCTTTCAGACCAAATCCTTTTAGCTCAAATCTTGGATCAAATTTTAAAACATCCAGAGGGAGCCCTGCACGAGGGCATAATGAACTGCCATCGTTTTAATTTAATAATGGCTTTTTGATCATTTCAATTATTTGTCTCATCAATAAACTTACACATAAACTTTGTAGGTGTAGCTAAAGCAGTTTTTATTTGTTTTTATCATTCATGGACCAATGCACACAAGTTTACATTCACGCACATGCTTGCACACATGCTCACACGCACACGAGCCCTATTCAACAACCTGGAACAGACTATTTTAAATGAGCTAATGGTTAAAATCCAACAGGAGCAGGCAACAAGGCATAATGAACTGCCATTGTTTTAATTTAATAATGGCTTTTTGATCATTTCAATTATTTGTCTCATCAATAAACTTACACATAAACTTTGTAGGTGTAGCTAAAGCAGTTTTTATTTGTGTTTCTATCATTCATGGACCAATGCACACAAGTTTACATTCACGCACATGCTTGCACACACGCACGCGCACACGCTCACACGCACACGAGCCCTATTCAACAACCTGGAACGGACTATTTTAAATGAGCTAATGGTTAAAATCCAACAGGAGCATGACGACTTTAAACATTTATGTAAATACATGTGTGCTCCACTATAGATCTGTTCATATATATACCTTAACGATGGCAGCAACCTACACAGAGATATCAATGACCTGATAGATATATTACCTGAGCACGCACTTTGTCTGTGCCACCATTTCTGTAATTGTCTCTTTATATAGTTCGCACTGCACAAAAATGCTTTGTGCTTTGGTCCACCTGAAATAACAAAACTGCTTCATTATTATCACATGATCGACTGTTGACAGTTATTTGGGGGATAATTTTGACATTTGTATTCAAAATGTCTGAGAATAATACCTCACCAGTAGCGCAAAGATCTTGAAAAATGGAAAGTATAGTTCATGAACAATTTCAATCTAGTAATCTGGCTCTATGACAAATACGTGAAACAAGAAACAAGGATATAAATATATTATCCACACAGTTTTTCTGCAGGTTTTGTCCGCCTGCGTGTAATAGAAATTAGTACATTCATGCATTATAGAAAAATGTTAATAGCTTGACAAACCACAGGAAGACTATGCACACTCACCACTCTACCATGTATGGGTATTTTTCTTGGTTTGTCATTTCATGGCAGAATTCTATTGGATAGTAGATTTCCTTCAACTGGGTAACCTATCATATAAGGAAGACAGATAATAGTTAGGGGCTTTGCATATTTCACTAGATCTACACGTGACTGTGTTCTCATCTTCCACAGACTGTGGTCAAGCCTATAGATACATTTACAAATTCTACAGGGTCTTGAGAAAACTTGTTTATTGCCATGAATATCGTCAGTTTTCAGGAGCACCACGGCTAGTGAGGAAAGCAAACATTGCAATTCTGATCAGTACTGCCGGTGAAATTCAGGCAATGTTTGTTATGTAAATGTAAAATATATCATAATAAACTAACCTGATCTTTGTAAATTTGCGGCATCGCTGAGGAGTTTTCAAGAATTCCAAAGCAGGTGGCAATTATTTGGCCCTCATGAGAATGCTTTGACAGAGTGTGGTCAAAATCTGCTATGACCTGAAATATTACTCACATATTAGGCCATAGCATGCTGACCAAAGCATAGACTTGGATTAAATATAAAGACAGATGAGCAATATTTGTTTCAAAAAAAGCAATCCTGACTGTCATAATGATTAATGAGGAGAGTTGATTAATGATCCCTGTAGGAGAGTTGTCTATCTTTTAGTTAGATATTGGAGAGCCAGGGGAGCTACGGGAGTTCGGCATGGCGGTTTGTAATCTCGTGTTCTGCTCAGCTACGTTTCCTAAATAAAACGAATCTACATGAAGTTAAATCTCTTTTTGGGGTTAATACAATCATGACATGGTATCAGAAGTGACTTCAAGAACAGTTTCAAGTACACATTGTAGCACTTGCTGCTTGACAGAACAACGCGGACGTTTGTGTCTAAAGGGCGAGTCTACAGTTTGATACCGGTGGCCCCGGAATCACAAGTCATTGTCAAGAAAATTGCACGATATGACCCCCCTGCCAAGTTTACGTTTAAAGCTGAAGAATGGAGTGAGTGGATAGAGGAATTCGGACGATTTCGGAAAACCACTAAACTTCACAAAGAAGACGGAGAAGTACAAAGAGACTCACTGATCTACTGTATGTGAGGTAAACAAGCCAACAAAATATTCAAAACGTTGAAATTTGTTTCGCATGATGTGCCTGACCCAGAAAACCCTAGCGCCACAATTAGAGAGGAGGAAAAGGACACTGATTACGACACAGTTGTCAAGAAATTCACACAGTACTTCATCCCAAAAAGAAATATAATACACGAGAGATCATTCTTTCAAGAGAGGGTCCAAAGTAGGGAGGAGACAGTGGAAGAATTTCTAAGGGACCTTCAAGCAATGGTGAGTACAAGGATCCAGAAGACCAAGTACGTGACAGGTTTGTCGTGGGACTCCTAGACCGAGGAGTGAAGCAAAAACTGCAGCTGATGCCAGATTTGACCCTAGATAAAGCTTCAGCAGTGGAACGCCAGCATGAACAGGTAAAATTACAGATGGTCCAGCAACAAGCTTCCCACCAGGAGATTAGTGAGGCAAAGTTCAAACAAAGGGAGCATAGACCAAAGTGGAAGAAAAATGTTAGCAGCCACAAAACAAAACAGAAATGCAACCTTTGTGGTTACGACTGTCACCCACGGGGTGGTAAATGCCCTGCTATTGGACAGATCTGTAGGTCATGCAATAAGCATGGACATTTCTCTTCGGTGTGTCGCAGTGGTAAACACTGAGGTGGAAATTTAAAGGGGGCAACAGACGCAGTGACATCTCAGGATACATCCGAGGGGAGGAATCATTCTTCCTTGGAACAATTGATTGCCATGAGGAAGAAGCGTGGTATGTACCACTGAACATATGCGGCTCAACTGTAAAATTTAAAATAGACATGGGAGCTGACGTAACATTAATTTCACACACCATCTGGCAATCATTGAAAAGTCGCCCACACCTGATGCACAACAAGGTCAAGCTCAACAGTCCTGGGGGCCAGCTCAAGGTTTTAGGTGCATTTACAGCTGTCATCAATCACAAGGGGAAAGGCTATACATTTTGCGTAGTCGTGATAGATGGAACTGCTAGCCCGCGGAGTGGCAAAGAAAATGGGCCTAGTTACCCATGTAGATGAAATCTTGAGTCAGTTCAACTCAGATATTAGTCTCTTGAAGACCGAACCAGTCAAGATCAGTTTGACAGCAGGTGTAACACCACTGTGTCACCACCGCACGAAAAGTTCCGTTTTTCCTGATGGATGCGGCGAAAACAGAAATACGGAGAATGCAGGATAGTGGAGTGATCCGTCCTGTCACTGAGCCCACCGAATGATGTGCGGCTATGGTTCCGGTTCAGAAGAAAATGGTAAACTGCGCATTTGTGTTGACCTAAAAAGACTGAATAGGGCTGTTCGCAGAGAACATTATACACTTCTGAATCTAAGCGACATCGCTCCTAAAGCCCGGCGCACATTGCCGAACATTTTGCTCAAAAACATTATCGTAGCAATGTTCCATGAAATGTTCGGCAATGTGCGATGAAAAAAGTCGCCGAACATTTGTTCCGAACAATGTTTCTGAAGATCGGAAATGTTTGATATCTCGAACATTGTTCGTCGAATGTTCGTCAATGTGCGCTGAATGTCAAACAATTCTAGGAACATTTGTAGTAACCAATAGCAGCAAGATATGTGGTCACATGATTTTTGTGCCCAATCATGCGCCGATCACGTGACTCTTTACAACACAGCTACTAGATGGCGCCACGAGGTTGTTCGCTGCAAAATATTCGGCAATGTGCGCTCAGCAATTGTTCACCCGCACATTGCCAGACAAAAACATTTGTTCGGACGAACATTTGTTTGGGAAAATGTTCGGCAATGTGCGCTCAGCAATTGTTCACCCGCACATTGCCAGACAAAAACATTTGTTCGGACGAACATTTGTTTGGGAAAATGTTTGGCAATGTGCGCCAGGCTTTAGTTGGCTCAGTCCAAGTACTTTACCAAGCTGGATGCAGCAAGTGGAATTTGGCAAATCCCCGTGGAGGAGAAAAGCCAACTGCTCACAACATTCATGACGCCGTTTGGGAGGTATGCATTCTGTCGCGTTCCCTTCGGTATTACTTCGGCGCCAGAGATCTTCCAGCGAAAAATGACCGAGTTACTTCATGGCTTGGAGGGAGTAGAGGTTATAATGGTTGATATCTTGGTTCATGGCCGATCCATGAAAGAGCATGAAAGGAGGCTAACTGAAGTTCTGACGAGACTTCAGGAAGCAGGTCTTCACTTAAACCGAGAGAAATGGCAGTTTAGGATGAAAGAATTGGTTTACTCTGGTGACCTTATCAGTGCTGAAGGGATCAAGCCAGACCCAGAGAAGGTACGGGCAATGATGGATCTGACTCTACCATCCAATGTCAGGGAACTCCGTAGCTTGATTGGAATGTTCCAATACCTAGACATGTTTGCAAACAACCTGTCTTCTGTTATGAAACCCATGACAGATCTGCTGAGGTCTGACAGTGTCTGGTTATGGGGGCCAAGTCAGCAAGGTGCCTTCCAAGAAACCAAACAGCTACTATGCGCTTCTCCAACACTAGCATACTATGATGCGAAAAAGCCAACGATCATTTAAGTGCTGATGCTAGCAGTTTCGGGATAGGGGCCGTACTCCTACAGAAAGATGAAGAAGGCTTAAAACCAGTAGCATTCTGCTCAAGAACACTCTCAAGCGCTGAGCAGCATTACGCTCAAATTGAGAAGGAATGTCTGGACTCTGGCGGCAGTATGGGCATGTGAAAACTGTCTAAGTATCTGGTGGGATTACCACAGTTTACTCTACTGACCGACCACAAGCCATTGGTGCCTCTACTGAGCACCAAGAACATTGATAAAACACTGATTCGCTGTCAGTGTCTTTTGCTGCGAATGATGCGGTTCAATCCTGTTGTTCAATTTGTACTGGGTAAAGAACAGATAGGGGCAGATGCACTATCCAGGAATCCTCTAGCTATCACAGAGGACAGTGTACAGCTGGTCCAAGATGTCAGTGATTATGTGGACACAGTTCAAGTAGGTTGGCCAGCGTCACCTAACAAATTAGAACAGATCAGGGAGGCTACAGAGAAGGACGATGTCCTGCATGCAGTAATGCGTTAATTATGTCATCAACGGGTGGCCAAATAGAGTGAGAGTGGTGCCGGAGCCTTTGAGGCACTATTACCATGTACGCTCAGAGCTATCGGTGACAAATGGAATAGTTGTTCTACAGAGTAGAATAGTTCTGCCTAGAGCAATGAGGCAGGACGCTTTAGAACGACTATGTACATGAATCACACCAAGGCATCTCGATGTGCCGTGAAAGAGCCAGGACAGCCATATGGTGGCCGAACATGAGCAACGACATTAAAAACATGGTCGATCAATGTGTGGAGTGTCGACAGAGTAGACCATCACAGCGAATTCAACAAGCAGACATTTCTGGTAGTAGTAGACTATTACTCTCGTTGGATCGAAGTGAAGAGGCTGACAAGTCTGACCAGCTCTGCGGTAATTACAAGAATGAAAGCAATGTTTACGGCTTTCGGTATCCCAGATATAGTAATATCGGATAATGGGCCGCAATATACCTCTCACGAATTCCGTCAGTTTGCTAAGTCGTGGGGATTCACTCACAAAACGACTAACCCATACACACCACAAGAGAATGGGATGGCTGAACGTGCCGTGCAGACGGCTAAACACTTACTGAAGTGGATGATCCAGAGATTGGATTGTTGAACTATAGAGAAACTGCGCATTCAGCCATGGGTGTGTCTCCGTCTATGGCACTACAGGGACGAGAACTCCGGACCAGACTTCCGATACTTACTGGAGCGAAAATCAACTGCCAAAGGTTCCAGATACCAGCACCATCCGTCAGTCCGGCAAATCAACTAAAGCCACCTACAAGAGGTATTATGATGCCAGGAAAGGTGCTCGAATACTACCTCACCTGTCAAGTGGCCAGTCTGCACTGGCGAAGCTGGACACGAAGAAGCGTTGGACCAAGTGGGGAACAGTTATCGGTGGTGACGAAAACAACCGATCCTACATCATTCAGACGAATGCGGGAATTCATCGTCGGAACCGTAAACATATAAAAGACACCCCAGTGACACCTAGTGGGCAGAATTCTACGCCACCTCTATCCACACAGCAAGGCATAGTTGTGCCGGCAGCAGAGGAACCGGTTGTTCTTGAACAACCTTTACGCAACATTGCGCCAGGCAACAATGGTCCCGAGTCGAAAGAAGATGCAGATACAGCTTCGCCATCTGATGTCAAGCAACAACCTATATGGTACCAGTGACCTTCACATCGAGTGGCCGGGCAGTGCGTCTACCTCAGCGTTTCAGAGACTACAAGTGTTAGTTTAAGGCGACTAAGATCCGCTAAGGGCTGAATAATCCCTGGATCTGAAGTCTAGACAGTGGGCAGTCTACCCTACTGTCTGAATTAGTGTTAAATGTAGTTGGGTTAGCATTGTTGAAAAGTTAACCTTTTGTCATTCAAAGACATTTATGCTATACAATAAGATGCTCATCTCAAAGGAAAGGAGATGTCATAATAATTAATGACGGTAGCGCCCTGTAGGAGAGTTGTCTATCCTTTAGTTAGATATTGGAAAGCCAGGGGGAGCTACGGGAGTTTGGCATGACGGTTTGTAATCTCATGTTCTGCTCAGCTACGTTTCCTAAATAAAACGAATAGAGATCAAGTTAAATCTCTTGTTTGGGTTTACACAATCATGACTAATACTTTTTACTATAGATGTGGTGTCTATGTGTGTGATAGGTCTTATCTTCTTTGTTAAATACATGTATACACTGTGTTCCATGACTCAGCATTGGGCAGCAATTTATGGATATCACATTACCACCAGTAACCACCATTTGTCTTCCACACACGCTGACCATGTTAAATTCGTTTTGCCAACATTTAGAAATTTTCTCTTTCATCAAAAGTGTATCATACATATATTTTAGGAAGCAGCACATCTCCAGAATTATCCCTCAGTTATTCTTATCTTTTACCAACTTCCAAAGTTGCAATAGTAGGATCGTGAATAATTGTCGGTCAAAATACAAGGGTTATTTCAGTACGTTTCAAAGCCATACAAACTGTGTATTTAAAAGAAGTACATACCTGCAGTTTTTCTGGCCCACCAGCTACTAGCTGCCGTATTATGCCTTCCACTTGCTGTCTATTTTTGATGAAAACAGATGGTGTATTCAATTCTGGTATCTATTTGATAAATAAAATATAAAACACTTTATTTATGTGCCATCATATATTCATACAAGATTCCCCCTAGAAAATCATTGTTAATTTTCAATTAATATTTTTTACATGAAATCAATAGCCGATTAGAACTAAGAGTTCACACGTATCTCACACGTCTCTGCACATGTCATGTACAGGATGGTCCTTCTGCAATGTCACTGCTAACCTAATTGCTAGGGGTGCACCGGAACTTGGATCCGGCCGGAACTATCCGGCCAAATCCCCAATTTTTCAGAGTTCCGGTTCCGGCCGGAACCCTTCAGGAACAGTCGGCCGGAACCGGAATCTTTTCCTAAATTCCTTTCTGCTACAAGCTGATCAGTCACTGAATGTAGTTGAGCATCAGTAGAGTCAACTTGCTGACAATATAGTGTTAACAACTTCACACTATTCCGCCCAAAAAACTTTGCCACTTGAACATCGGCTAACTTACTAACTGAACTGAACCTAACTGATGTTAGGTGATTCACGAGATTTTCTTTTAAAATAAAATACTCTTACTCTTAGAGCCACAGGAATGGCATCTGTCTGTTAGTTGAAAATAATCGACTAAAACCAGGGATACTGCAACATGCAGGTTTTGCCACACAATTCGCTCGCGACTAAGATGCCAGAATTATGCACTGTAAGCAGATGATTCATACAACTAACAACCATCCTGTAATTAGAACTTTGTAGCATTGAGAACAATGAGAACAATGTAGAATGTGAACATGTAGACAATGAGAACATGTATATTAGAACATGAGACTTGAGAACATGTGACATAATGAGAACATGAGACATAATGAGAACATGTAGAACAATGAGCATTGTCCTACTCGCCTGAGTGATGTACCTGCTAATAATATTTCGTTCAGGCTGAGTGAGTTTGCACAATACTGCGCCAAAACTGTCAAGTTTATTCCCAGCTTAAAGGGATACTAGACTCTAGGATTTTACTGCATACAACTGTACTTACTGTATAACAAATCGTCTATACCCACACGTACTTGTTAACAGATACCTAATTTAATTGTTATAATTATTGAAAGTGTCAATGACACTATAGCTCACCTTGGGTGTGATAGAAGAGGGAGATGATATTTAAAATTTGGTAAGTGTTTCAATTATGATGGACCAAAATGTGATCAAATGTGATTATTCTCTGTTTTATACTAATACTAGAAATTTCACTGTTTTGTTTCAGGGTTAGTTTTGATGCGAAAATAAATGTTTCAGATCTGAAAGTCTGAAATCTGGGCGAGAGATGGCACTACGCCTAAATGATTGCCATTTTGGTTTTCGATTATCGCGCAAATAAAAGCAATAAAATATTCCAGTCAAATTACTGTAACGAAGAATCTAAAACACAATATTACACGTAAGTATGATTAGGTAGGTAGGTAGGTAGGTAGGTAGGTAGGTAGGTAAATTTAACAAAATCGAATGAATCTAGATGGCCATTTTCATTTTTGCCAAAAAGTGAGCGTGGCTCGAAGGTAGGTCGACTGGCGTGCTCCAAAATAGGATGTTCAAATCCCTCCCATAGGAGTAACCATAGTATGCAATTTTAAACATGTGGGTCATACGGTTCTTGAGTTATCGTTGACCGTAGGCAGACACTGAGATGCATAGTGAAATTGGCAAAATCTACCTAATTTGCATAATTTTAAAAACAAGTGCCGCAGAGCGACAACGCTCAACTGATGTGTACTGTAGCCGGCTATTCTTCTGATAAACTCACTGGCAACAGAATCAAGTGCGCCCTCCTGCGTTGATAGGCTTTGCTATACCGGTAGTACAGTAATAAAGATACAGCTGTGTTACTTTAATGACTTCGCTATATATATAAGCAAGATTTGAACTTTTATGAGTTTATGTAACATGTTCTCAATTAAATTGCAAGTTAGTAAATTGGTTTGTGGTATTTAAAATAAATTGTAGGTTTAGAAAATGAATTTTTTCAATGATGTGAAGGAATTTGTATATATCAGGCAATTATTTTGGAAAGTTGTGAATTATTTTGTTCATAAATTGATTTATTATTCTGTGAATTGATTTTAAATTTTGAATTTAAATTTTTCGAACAATATAAAGCAATTTTTATTTTTATTTATTAATTTGAAATGTTTAAAATTGATTTAAAATTGTGTATTTGAAATGTTTGAAAATGATTTTTGGGATGGCTTTCCATAGACACATCTTGACCTTTGACCCTTGACCCCCAAATTCGACATCCTGAGTTCTTTTCGCGAACCCTCCCCCCCCGTCCCGAATATCAGGACCGAACGTCGAGCGGCTAAGATTTGTGCCGTAACTGTTGACACATGGACGGACGGCCGGATGGCCGGACGCACGGACGCACGAACAGACATTCATGCGATTCTACAAGCTGCATCTGAGCTAAAAATCCTGGATCCACATCTGGATCCAGATCACCACCAAAATCTAATCGATTGGTTGATGGCCCAAGACCAACCCGTCCAAAAAAAATTCATCAAAATCTGTCCGTAACTTTTTGAGATATCCGGTTGACAGACAAACAAACCAACAAACGAACAGGGGTGAAAACATAACCTCCTTAGCGGAGGTAATTATAGTAAATAAACAAGAACTCTATTTATTACCAATGCCTTAATAGTAATAAGTACTACTCCCTTTTGCACATTATTAGTAATAAATCCACAGTAAATCCGTTCAAATTCTCCTCTGCAACACACAATCTCACCGCATGCATGCACGCCACTGTGCATAATTTCGCAGAAAGATGGACGAGCAGGTGGGAAAACGCACGTGTCATAATTGCACATTGCTCGCTTCGTTTCACACCTTTAAAGCAAAAACACACAATCAACCACTTCCATTTTGATATATATCAATGCGCAGCCAAATGTTCCCTTGTTAGAATAGAATTATGTCTTTTGCACTTGGGCACAACTTAATTTACTAAGGAAAATCTAGTGAAAACCTTGCATAATTATCGCTCTTCTGTAAACCGGAGAAACTGCACGTTTATAACTATAAGTATAAGTGAGCTATGGCAGCGCATTGCATTTGTGAGTCCCGCCACACAGATTCAGTATGATTTTAGAAAGGAATGACGCAACGTACACAACTACGTTCACTGACTAAACAATGAATAGCGCTGATAATTTTCAAATGATAAACAGTCAGCTGCTTTTGATTACAAAACCGAGGTGAGCAATATTCCTGCAGGAATTTGCCAAATTTCTCTGGGTAACTCAAGTTGAACCCAAGTGTAACTGATAATTCAAACCTCATAACGATTACTCTTCAAAGTCAAAATGGACAAAATGACTTCAGAGACAAAATGGATCAAATAGACAGACAACATATACCGTGAAATTTTCAATTTTAAAATTAACTAAAGAAGAAGAAAGAGAATTCCAATATGGAATGACAGAAACAGATAATCTAATCTTAAAAGGATCTCTTGGCGACGATAGTACACGTCGAAATCAATTATAAGTGTTTTTATCACGCTCGGACAGTCATCTATAGAACTAAAATTAAACAAGTAAACATTCAGCTAAGCACAGATACCAATAATGGAGACAGTTGGTTGTGTACTTATGCTGTGATGGTGTTAAAGAAAAGCAAACACTGTGATTGTCTGAATTGGCACTCATACTTTCCTACCTTCCAGGTCCCACACTAGGATTGAGCAGCCTACATGGTCATTGTGTTTCTGCATACTACTCTAGTAGTAAGAGACACGAGGTGAGACTGTGTTGCGGAAGACCATGTTATCGGCTTATACGTTAAATTGTTAGGTGATAGGGGGTACACAAAATTCAGATAGGCTTTTGTAATATATAGGCCTACAATTTGTGTTTATTCACTATTATTTACCTCCGCCCAACGGAGTTGGAGGAGGTTATGTTTTCGCTCTCGTGTGTGTGTGTTAGTGTGTTCGTGTGTTCGCACGATCGATATTAGCGCGTCAGCCAGCGAGCCAGCGAGCCAGCCAGCGCAGCGAGCCAGCGAGCGTGTACATGTGAGCGAGCAGCAGCAACGAGCGGCTGCTACGAGCGAGTGGCAGCAAGACAGCGAGCGTGTACATGTGAGCGAGCAGCAGCAACGAGCGGCTGCTACGAGCGAGCGAGCAGCAAGCCAGCGTGCACATGTCAGTACGCTGGCGTATATCGTGGCTTATTCGTGTGTTCGTGAGTCGTATGGCATATGTTGCTGGCGGAGGTATGCACTCTCCATGAGTGCACTCTGTCTAGTATATTACTGAAATGGAGAAAGTGCATGCGCTGTGATTTCCAGCATGTCGTGATGATGGCAACAACAATTTGAAATAAATTTGACGTAACCTCAGGGTGCGAAATTAATGGGAGTCCAGAGTCAAATACTCCCTGATTTACTGTCGGACTCCCTGATTTGACATATATGCAGGAGTCCGTGTAACTCGCTGAAAATTCTGCCATACTAACTAGTTCGTTCCAGAGCACGGCCTCGCGGAATTACCGTATTTTTCAGCTAATGTCCAAAGAAAATTTGGCAGACGTGCAACCGCCTGACTCTTAAAACTAAGCACAATCATGTATGCGTTATTGTTAATATCTTTAATTTTGAACCTCAGACTGCGAACTCCCTCATTTTGCTGCAAACTCCCTCTTTTTGAGGGTAGGGAGTCCGTTGGACTCCCGTGTTCAAAAGTTAATTTCTACCCCTGTCTCACACGGTCAATCTCACACGGTTGGGTAGATACTCGTGCCAGAAAAAAATACAAATTAGATGCCATTCACCATAAACTTAAAGCTGCAAAATGGGTACCCAAAACTATTGTGAGGTTGTTTAAAATTGGCCACAGTGCACGTAAAAAATTTAAAAGGCCCTGTGTTGCTCGACTTCTTACCTAGTATCAGTGTATCACTAGGAAACAGGTGCAACCCCACAACTGGTTGAACAAGAAAAAATTTAGTATAAACAGAACTTTCACTTTCAGGCTCAGCATGTACTTTTTTAGCTCTAGTACTGTAACTATAGCCCGCGTACAGTTGCCTCAGGGCTATCTATAGAACATTCTATTATGAATGCTCGGGACCAGCTTACTCCAGCCAGTCAGCAGGAACTATGTATTCACGCACGTGGAAGGGTGGGCGGGTTGTGTTGGTTGTGGACAAAAACATTGTTGTCAAGTAGCAAATTAATAATAGTAATTTAATCATCTTTCATGACAAAACTAATATTATAATCTTTTTTGATCGCTTAATTTGTTACTTGACAACAACAAGGTTTTTGTCAAAATGGCCGTTTGAAATAATGTTCGACAGAATCGTTCACGAATCACAAGAAATACCGCAAGTAGACCATTTCAATGATAGCTAGAGGTTAAATTTTAGTATCAGATAAAACTTAACACATATTCACTTCGGATAAGAGGCATTAATTGCCTACCACAGACGTTTTATAGCCGCGAGTAACCGTGAATAAGTTAGTCCCAGGCATTCGTAATAGAATGTTCTATAGCCCTGCGGCGACTGTACGCAGGCTATAGCCTATAGTACTAGAGCTAGTACTTTTTGTACTTGCAATAAAGTGGCATTTTTTTCCTTTTCTTTCCTTTTTACACCCCCTCACCTATTTGAAAATGAAAAGCAGGAAGAAATGTTTGAATTTCATCAAGTAGGGGAACATCTGTTGCACTGTTTTGTGTGTGAATAATTTGGAAGTATTCGGGCTTTGTGACATTGTGTCGCCCTAATCTGTTCAATTACAATGGGTAACTAGTTGACATTATTCATAAACAAGAGCCGCAGAGTGTCTGGGCTCATCTGAGGTCTGTTGCTACGGTTATAAACGTAACATTTAAGTCGTGCGTAGTGACACCTTTGTTAGGCGCAGATGTGCAGATACGCAGTTGCGTACACATCATTTCAGCAACCTTGGAAGCATTCAAATCCCATTGGTTGATACAAATCGCGTGCCTGAAACTCCTGTTTTATGGTGCATTGTGACCCTAAGGCCATCCTTAAAAAATTCTATGTTTGCCGTTCCCCGACCCATGATTTTTTTAGTGGGTAGGTGGTAGGTAGGTCATTTTTTACATAAGTACATACATAAATACATAAGAGGCATAATAGTTACTTTAAGTCTGTCCTCATGTTTGCCACACATGCTTTGTGTTTCAGTCTTAACTATAAAAAATGTTTAAAAAAAAATAATGAAAAAAATATGGAACCCAAAATTATATTCTATTTTATATTTATTTATAGGCTATTTTCGTGGGTCGGTCGGAGGACAGCAAACATAATTATTTAAGGATGGCCTAACCCCAACCCTATTAAAAAAAAAAAAAATTAATTGTTGTAAAAATTATTTGTTGTTATGAAATTGTTGTAAAAATTATTTGTTGTTATGAAATTGTTGTAAAAATTATTTGTTGTTATGAAATTGTTGTAAATAAATCATGTAAATATTTTCCTTAATTGGAAAGAAATAGTTAAATGAATAAAGATAGAAAATACAGAAAACAGGTACATGATAAAAAATCTGATGGGATTTGAGCCAAGGACCTTTGAGGCGTAATCCTGTGCTGTAACCGTTCGTCTATCGAGGCATATTGGGTTTCCAGATTATGGATGTGCCATGAATATGAGAACACTGTGACATCATTGAGGCAGTT